GTATGATTAAATATCACTGCATAGTACACCAAGAAAATTTATGTGCAAAAGCTTTAAAGATGGCTAACGTCATGCAGATTGTCATCAAGACTGTAAATTTCATAAGGTCCAAGGGATTGAATCATCGCCAGTTCCAGGAATTCCTTACATTTATGGATGCTGAGTATGGGGACATCATTTACTTTTCTGAAGTAAGATGGTTAAGTCGAGGGAAAATGCTGGCAAGATTTTACGATTTGAGAAATGAAATCAAGTCATTTATGGAATCTAAGACAAAATGTGTGCCAGAACTTGACGATGAAAACTGGCTCACAGATTTGGCATTTTTAGTGGACTTGACCACTCATTTAAATGAGTTAAACATGCGTCTTCAAGGTGAAAACCAACTGATCAGCACAATGTTTCAAACTATAACAGCATTTGAAATGAAACTGCAACTATGGCATTCTCAAATGAAGGCAAAAAATTTGATGCATTTTAGCACATTGGCTAAACACACCTCTGTGAACACGGAAAAATATGCAGCCTTGCTTTTCAATTTGGTACAGGAATTTCAGAGCAGGTTTCAAGATTTTAGAAAAAATCAGTCATCTTTTCTGATATTTGCAACTCCATTTTCAGTGGACATTAATATATTACCTGCCAATTTGCAAATGGAATGCATAGAGCTCCAATCTGACATTCAACTGAAAGAAAAATTTGACAATGTCTCTTTAATGGACTTCTACAAGATATATCTTCCCAGAGAAAAATATCCGTCACTTCACAATCATGCCTTATTCATGTCATCACTATTTGGAAGCACCTACATTTGTGAGCAGCTATTTTCAAGGATGAAGCACACAAAGAATAAAACTAGAACCAAAATATCTGATGAGCACCTTGAGCACTCACTGAGAATTGCAACAAGTTCCATCAGACCAAATATGGATGCATTGGTGGTTGAGAAACAATGTCAAACATCTCACTAACTTCATTTCTAAATAAATTTGATGTTACCTGTTTTCTATGTGGTTTTTTTATGATCAGGTATTGTTACTGTTATTTTATTTTATGTGCGGCCCGAACCAAATTTTCATCTTCTAATGTGGCCCAGGGAAGGTGAAAGGTTGGACACCCCTGATCTAAATAATGATGCATACATGCCAAGTGTAGCAAATATTATGTACAGCATATCTACAAATACAGTAACTTAAAACAGATCACAATATGCAACATGTTATGTTCCACTTTCAAACTTCTTGTTCAATGCAACCATTATTACAACTATGTCTCTGCAGCAGATCTTATACAATATTTCTAAATTGTTCTAAATGTAGTCATATTAATGTCAACACCAATAACTTTGTATCAAATATGCATGAATAGTCAATAGTTGTCAGCAATGCAGTTTTGATGCCACGTAGGTCAGTTAGATGCCCTGTTTATATCTGTCTCCCAAAACCATAAAATATGTCAATTTTCCACAATTTGTTTTGCAAATTGTTCTGTAAACATTAAATAAAGCTGCCAGCTAAATTAAGTTGCCTTTTTATTTTATGGCAGAAGGGCTATAAAGCTAACAAATGATTATTTGGATTTTCTACATCATTACCCTGGTTTACTTTTCTATTTTAAATTTGTAGACAGGTTAATTCATATTACTTTTTCCAATATAAGCATGAGGTCTGACATCATTAGATAGCTGATTATCTCCTGTTCCCTTAAATTTCTACACCCACTCTTTCCTTTTCACTCCCATACGTGGAACTTCCTTCATGAAGTGGTACTCTCCTGCCCCATTCTTCAAAACCAAACATAAATTTATATTTATCCATAATGTATTCAGTTTATATATATTCTTAAATTGTCATTCCCAATTACAAGCATATTTTAAGTATATGCGTAACTAGATTTCCCACAGGTATCCAGTCCTGATTTCTCCAAAAGCAAGGGCTCTTGCCCATATTATGTCAGGTGCCCTGCATGCCATAGATGGTTATCTAGCCACCCCCCAGCTCTCTTCCGTGCCCGCCTGCCCCCAAAAACTGCTTTAAAAAGATGTGGCCTGGAACTTAGACAATTCAAAACAAACCCAACGTTAGAACCAATTAAATTTATAGTGTCAGAGTACTTTTTAACTACAGCATTTTACTTGATGAACCGCAATACTTGTTAGCTGTCTTTAGCACACTGGTAGAAAGATTATAAATACTGAGAATAAATAAAAATAGTGATTGTTCTTTATGAGAAAACAGAACTATCATAAGAGAAGGCAAAGAAAATCAAGTCAATTGTTTGAGCAATTCATTAAAGTGTGTTTGTAAAAAAGGACTCACTTTATTTCATACTCACTTAAAAAGAGAAAAAGTCACTTAAGAATTAGAAAAATAACACTGTCTACCAGATTTCAGCAAAGCTGAACACTTACCTATATAGACCCTCCTGCTGTATCTCTGCATCAGCAGCAGCACAAATACATGCAGTGGAATAAGGTTGATGATGAAAACATAACCACCCCATGCAGAAACCTGTTAGACATAAATACAATACAACATAATTCTATTTTGCAAATAATAAACAATAGAGAATCATAGAAGACAGCTTGTAAGAACCTCAGAAGCTCTCTGATCTAATACTGTACCAACACAGGAAACAGGCAACCATGTAACCATGGTTCTTCAAGGGGACCTCTGTGAATTTACACCATGGGTGATCAGCATCTGTGCGGAGCCTTGTTGGAAAATTCTAGAGCTTCTGTGGTAGCAAAAAACACATTAGAATAGACCCCCCCATCCGTATAAGTACCTTGGCGCCAAGACTCTCCCTTCAGTTACGTCAACCGTCTGAAGAAAGAGATCCGCATGGTGTGACAGTGGGAAGGTCGGGTGGGATGTATGACTCACAGATGTCCACTCAAAGAACTACAATTACAGGTGAATAACCTGTTGTTGTTCTTTGTTTCCTCTGTGAATCACACAGTGGGTGACAAACAAGCTGTCTTACCTGGAGGTAGGGTGTTATGCCAAGGTGGAAGCCAAAACAGCAAGTCCAAATGTCACATCAGACTTCTGTCAAACATCCAGTCTGTAGTGTGGGATAAATGTAGATGGTTGTGCCCATCTAATCAAAGCACAGACATCTGGAAGAGGAACACCCTGGAGGAACACTGTAGAGGTTGCAAGCGCTCTGGTGGAATGAGGGCGAATCACAAGAAGGATCAGCTGTCGAGCCAGCTGATATGCAAGGTGAATGGTAGAAGCAACCCAGCGAGAAACTGTTTGTGAAGTTACCTGGAGGTTGATGGCTGACAAAAAGGTGCAGTGAATGCCGGAAGGGTTGTGTATGAGAAAAGTAAAAGGCGAGGGCTCTTTTTGACATCCAAAGTATGGAGGAGTCGTTCTTGAGTGGAAGATGGTGATGGAAAGAAAAGAGGGAAGGACCAAAAGTTGGGAAAGATGAAATTGAAATACCGCTTTAGTGAAAAAAGAAATGTCTACAAATAGTTTGACTTTATCAGGGAAAAACTGTATATAAGGATAGCCATGCTGCAAATTACTTGCTCGACGAGCTGATGTGACTGCTACAATGAAGACTGTTTTGAAAGTAAAGCGAAGGTCCGTTGAAGCTGATGGCTCAAAATAGGGCCTAGTGAGCTGATGTAGGACAAAGGTCAAAGACCATTGCGGAGAAGGTGGATGAACATCTGGGTAGGCGTGTGATTAACCTTTTAGAAAGAATTTGAGTGTGGGATGTCGGAAAAAACGCGCCGCTGGAGAAGTTGTCGATTGGTAGGAGATGATTGCTGAGAGGTAAACTTTCAGAAAGGAAAGGGAAAGGCCTGTAGATTTAAGATGTATCAGGAATCGGAGGACTGTGGAAAGAGATGGGTTGATGGCAGGCAGGGAAGCGGCTGTGGTGAAAGATTGAATTTTTTCCAACTTGTACAGATAGGCTCTTCTGGTTGAAAGCTTTTTCACTTGACAGAGGACATCCATCAAGGAGGCAAAATCCTCAAGGAGGCAGAGCTTGACTGCAGTCAAGCCAGCAGCACCTGGCAAACGGCTCCCGGGAAAAGTTGGAACCGCCCGGCCTGTCGTCCCTCTAGAAAGGGGGGGACGGAAGGGGAGGCCAGGAGAGCTCATCCTGAAGCAAATGGTGAGACCAGAAGGTAGAAGATTTGGCAGCAACTGGGTCTTTCTTCCCTCTGAAAATTCACCCACAAACAGACCAGAGATGGGAGGCCATTTTATGGCAGAAAGCTGCATGAATCTCCACCCCCAAATTCCCGAGGAAGGAGAACAGAAATACAGCCGAAAATACACAACAGCAAAGTAAGCCTTTGATTTATGAATAACCTCATTAAGATGTAAAAGAGACTAAAGGGAAAATACCTGACCAAAAGGAGAAAGAGGAAGCAGCAAGCCGTGCATGCCAGCTTGTGTTTTTTTTTCAAAGTGAACTGACTGATAAACAGCAAGTCTATAATTAGCAAGCTAGGTGAAGGTCATTCAGATACACAGTGAGACGGAAAAATTTTGTGTTTCTGGAAAAAAATCCCAGAGGAAATACTACTGAACAGGGACTGAAATTTTGTCAATGCTGTGTAATCTGGACTTTTCTCACTAGTGTGAGTGGGACTTTGAAAATAAAATCTTGTCTTTGGAGCAGGAGGTATAAGCTTTTGGGAATAAAAAACAGGCAATGAATCATCAGTGTGGCGACATAGACTGAAGAGCAGGAGAAGCCAGGACTAGAGTCGAATGGGACTTTGATAACAGAAGCGTCTTTGGTTTTAGAAGGAAGAATAAATCTATGGGAGCAACGGACAGTAAATTTTCAGCTCATCAGCAAGAGGAACTTAACACAATAAATAGACGGAAGACCTAAGAAAATCAGGTCTGGAGTTATTAAAGGACTACGACGTGTTTTTTGTTTGTTTTTGTTTTTTAGTTTTTATTTTTAACAAGGGGGTGACAAAAAGGAAAAGGGGAATTGAGGTTAATGGGGAAGAGGAGAAACAATAACATACTAACGTCCTTTCTATACCTATTGCCATATAAAGATTCCAAGTTACTCTATTTACTCTTTTCTGCCTTCCAGGTTTAAGTTCTCATTTCAATATATGCTATTCATGCGCTGCCTGTTGATTCAGTCCACTTGTAGAATAGGTCCCATCTTTCTGTTGCCTTTTGTAAAGGACAGTCCTTCATCACTTCTGAT